ATCTACAGAAGTTCAATTCACCCTCCCAACTTTCCTAACTTAGCATTTTGCTTACAGTTTTCATTTCCATTCCGTTCACTGTCACTGTCATCACAGACTAATATTCATTTTGACAATTTCTTTAACAACCTAACCTTTCAATTCCTCATTTTCTTCAATTCCTTCCCCCCCTGCTTTATTGGCACAGCCATACCTTAAACCTTGCTGCCTCTTAGAATGTAACAATCTCTGAAACCCTAACTTTGAAATTCTACTGTCTGATTACAACCTCCTATTCTTCTACCTTTGACTTTAGCTCACATTTAACCTACTTGTCTCTGTCCCACTTCTACTCTTCTATTCAGTCTTCTCTGAACTGCTTTGGTTTGTATCCATTCACAGCCTTAATCCTGTGCTCTACCACTTTAATTTTTCAATAGTTGACTCACTTGCTTCTTGGCTTTCTGCTGATCCCAAATTTATAATCTTATCCCTAGATACTCCTCTTTGGTTTCTCTGCTCCTGCTCTTGGGCTGCTGAATATCGTAGAAGAAAATGAAAAATGGACATGGTTTGAGCCACTTCAAATCTACGTGTAACTTGATATGAGCTTGCACTACTGTTTGACATCCCTTCTACTCTTCTCTGCATCTCAGATATACTGAGATGATAACTTTCCCAGACATTTTCCTCTTCCTCCTAAAGGTATGTCAGCCCTCAGTTCTATAGCAGATTGAACCAGCCTACTTCATTAGGAAGATAGAAGCATTGAATACAATGGAAGTTCCCTCAATTTCCTTCTTTTGTTCCAGAAAGCTGCTCAGCCACATTGCTCACTTTTTCTCCTTTACCTTTGGTCACAGAACAGGTATCCTTAACCTCTCATTAAGGCTAATCCATCTTGTGTCCTGTAACCTCTTCCCTTCTGCCTCCTCCAGGAATAATCATCCTTTACCTCTCATTCATCTTCAACCTTTCCCTTGTCACTGGCTCCTCAGTTTATCAACATGCTCTGGTCTGTCCTGATTCTTTTTTTAAGCTATTTTTTACTTGTTGTACCAAAACAAAAAAGTTGCCTATTCAGGGATGCCTCAATTTTTGCTCACTCTCTTATCACCTTGTCATCTGACTTCACCTCAACTATTCTACTGAAAATGCCCCATCAGTGGTTGCCAGTGACACCCAAATCACTATATCCCTTTGTCTTTGGTCAGTTCTAATACTCATTGAATTTTCTTCTGCCCATGGCACTGCTGCTCATCCTTTCCTGCTGGTTATCCTCTTTTCCCATGGCTTAAGACACATCACATTATCCTCCTTTTCATCATAAAATATTAGCTGTTCCTTCTCTATCAGTTTTGTTTTGTCTTCTTGGTAACTTAGGTATACAATTACCTAAGGTTCCTAAATCCCTTGGGATTTTCCCCTTTTCTTCTTGCAGCCCCACCCCTACCTTTGGCTCTTGCAGAATTTGACTTGATCGGTCTCTGTCACACACCTTGAGGTGAGAGGCCTCAGCAGTGGAAACCGGGAAGTGGGCTCAGTAGGACATAGGGGACAAGTACTGAGCATCTATAGGTGCTCTAGTCCGTGAGACTAGAACCTCCCTCCCTCTTCCACCGAACCCTGTGAAAATCCGTCCTTGTGCAGAGAAAGCCCTGATCTGATCTACTGTCTGGCAGTCCCAGACACTCTCCACTCGCACGCTAAGAGAAGAATCCTCTTTTGCAACGGTGTCTCTCCAACCTTCAGAGTCCAAGAAGCCTGGTCTCCAGCGGGCCAGGTCGCTTTCGTTGCAGAGCTGTCGGTGCCCAGCAGGGGCGCTAGGGACCTACGTAAGGCAAGTCAGCGTCGCTCACGCAGGTTCTAGTCTGTTTACGGGGCTGCAAATCTTTTTATAAACTTTTCTTTCTGCTTGTAGGGGACTCTCAGATTTAAATACAACACATCAGGACATCTTCTAGACTTTCAGTATTCCCCTCCAGTGTTTTTCAGATGTCCCCGCCTGCCTACATAACAGTATTTCCTCCCCTTCCCCCTTCTCCTTTCCAGGTCACCGAAAGCAAGTTTCTGTTTTGTTTTGTTCTTTCAATCAGAGATCCTGGGAGACTCCGGGATTGTAAGCTCCTGCACCCCATTCCTTCCTGCCGTATTTCAGCCCAAGAAAGAATCAACCTCTTCCCTCCCCCCCGCGCCCCCGCCCCAATTCAAGATAAAATGCTAGAAGGTCATCGTGGTGTACTGACAATCTCTAGACCTCTTAGAGTTCAGAGCCGAGAGACAAAGTCAGTTTTCTCATCTGTGAAAATGGAAATCATAATCTCTTAAGTATTTATCTCATGGAACTGTTGAGGATCAAATGAGAAATGTGAAGTTTTTTTTTTTAATAAATTTTAAACCCTTATTAAGAAACATCATGGCCTAGTGGATAGACAGCTAGCCTCTGAAGCTAGGAATACTTGGATTCAAATCCAGCCTCGGACATATACTGGCTGTGTAATCTTGGGCAAGTTACTTAACCTCTCAGGGCTCTCGGCAACTGTCTCAGACTGTAAATTACAGAAGAGGTGCTGACCTGAATTGGTAGAGGGAGTTTCCTCATCTGGGAGGTCCCCTATACCAATGAAATCACAGATTTATGTAAATGCCAGATATTGATATTTTACAGAGTGGGGAATTGAATCCCAGAAAGGGAGAAGAGCCTAAGGTAATGTAGTGAGTTAGTGAACAGAACCCAAGATTTTCCAACTATACTCATCAGTTACCCAGTCTTTCCTCCCTTCTAGTTTTGAATTCTGTGATCCTAACTCTAAGTCAGAAGTGAATTTAGTGATTATTTAGGCCAACTGTTATTTTATAGATATGGAAACTGAGAACAAAGAAGAGAATTAAGCTAATCACGAAACTACACAAAGGCAAGGAAAAGGGAACTCTGGGCTAGTATTCCTAATGAGAACCTTAGTCTTTTTGGAGTTTCTTTAATACCTCCCTTGCCGTCCAAGTCTGCTCCTCACCCAATCCTTTTCTAATCTCAAACGCAGTAATTCCCTTTTGTTTTCCCTACCCCAAAGCTCCTCTCACCCCAGTGGACGGTAGAAATTAACACAAATTCACCAGTGAAGAAAACACTTTCTAACGAAGATGAGTCGGGATGCCTTGAAGACCTGGCAGGTCATTGCTGCTTTTTAGGTGAAGTATCCTCTCATTCAGAATCTCTCTTAACTCCTGTCCTCCATCTCCACTAACCCTAACTCCAGTCAAAGTCCCCAGTCTGCACACTCTTCCAGTGCGGAAGAAGTCCAGTGAAGGACTACACTACCATTATTACCATCAAACTCTTTACATACATTTTAAAAGAACAACTTTAAATGAAAGAAACTCGCCTTCGGAAAGGCAGAGAAAAACCCAGGATTACAGACCAGCGCTTTAAATTTGCTGGCTAAGAATGGATGGGCCCGGAAAAGGGGAGGGGGCTGTGGAGACAGAATGGGGAGTTCTCAGAGATCCAAGGAAACAGTCCAGAATTCCTTGCCTGGCCTACAGTTTGTGAGAAGGGGGACCTAGGAAAAGTGGGAGGGAGGATACTTCTCTTCCTCTTTCTCCTCCTCCTCTCCACCTGTCTCTCTGTGTCATTCTATCTCTGTGTGTCTCTGAGATCTCTCCACTTCCTCCCACACTTTCTTCCCTCTACCTTTCGCAGTGTGGTTTAACAAAAAATCAAAAACCAAAAACCAAAAAGAACCATGCGAAAATCCTCTGAGAGAGGTCTGTGTCAGCTTATACAATCTGTCTAGTTGGGGCTCCTGAGGCCCGTGTGGTCTGAGGGGAAGGGTGTGGAGATACAGAAAGGGCCTCTAGCTATGAGTGTGCGGGCTCTTGGGAGGAGCACCTCGGAGATCTCCCCCCACTCCCAATTGATTTGTTTAGGCTTAGCAGGAACCAACCTTGCATGGGTTGCGGCTTGTTGCATACAGCCACAGTTCTTCCTCTCCTCTCTCTTTCACCTGTTCCTTCTCCCCGCTCCTGTTCACCCACGTGCACACTCATGTACAATCCTTACACACGTTTTCAGATACACACAACATACACTCACACTCTCATACACGCGCGTCCATACACCTAAATTTCGTCCTCA